CTCTCTCTCTCTCTCTCTCTCTCTCTCTCTCTCTCTCTCTCTCTTGTTTTGCTGGTGCTTGAACCTCAATTGGCACCCCCTATATTCTTTCAAGTTCTATAATTCAATATATTTTACAAGGAAATATCAGCTAAGTGATATTTGATCAAATGTCAGTTATTGAAGAGAATTCTGATTTCAAGTTATTTAGCAAAATAGAATTCTTACATTGCATAAGGAAGTGATGATAAATAAAATATAAACCTTGATTAAGATCATGAACTGAAACAAGCTTGAAATAATATTTTATATTTTTATAATTTTTTACCCTTTATAATTTATAGGCATTGCTGTGATTTCTATCAGATAAATGAAACTTTTCCATGGTTCTCTGATACTTTGCTTTGTAGGTATATAGTGAATCTTTCTTTACAGATATATTACCTTTTTTTCTTGAGATTTTAAATGATTTTTTTATAATAAACATCCCTAGAGATATATAAACTAGCTAAATATTTATTGTTATTGGAAAAGCATGTATTTGTGAATTAATTTCTTAGTTTTTAATATATTGTATTGGATTATAAAGAGATACGTCTGATGTTACATAAGATGTATCATAGTGTTTCATCAGTGACTAATATTTTGTATATTATTTAGGTGCATTGACATACAGCAGAGCAACGAGGTAGAGAGGACACAAGCGCTTCGGTTAGTCAGAAAGGTATGCTCTATGTATAAGACTGCAAGCAAATGTACGGTTTCCATGTTCAATGTTTTATTTAAGAATGAATTTCTAGTAAACATTTTTGTTAAAAAGTTTTATGAATTAAATCTATCAAACATTGATATTTTGTGTAATTAACCTATAATAAGGAGTAACTTTTACAATATTATAAATAATCATAGTGAAGAATATTTCTTTCCAGACCATACCATTATTAAATCATTTTTCAGACTTGTTCTGTTATCTGAAGTACCACATCATCCTCTCAGAGAGGTGTGAACCAGTCTGGAAAGTCTGTGTAGGATACTTCCCAGGTTTTCTGTGGGAAGGGAAGGAGTATGTGTTGAGATTCAATATGCATTCCATCACTGAGCTACATCCCTAGACAAATGTGTTTTCTTTAACTTTGTATTTGGAGATAATGACAAATAAATATGCTATTGTGATAAAAAAATATTACTTTCTTCAGTAGGCAAGTAAATAATTGCTTATTGGTTATTAGAGAAAGAATTATTTCCTTCCCCCATCTTAATCTTTCCTTCATTGTGTGATTTTAGGTAATTCAATTAAATAGCTGCCACAAGCAGTTCAAAGATTGCTGCTTTAAATAAATTTAGGTATAACCCATGGTCACTTGTGATAGACAGTTGAGGCTAATAACTTTACAGAATAAAATGCCACAATTTAAGCACCCAAAGAAAGGATTTTATTGAAGGTTACTCATAAAGCTGCTCTTTCAGTGCCTCAACAGAATTCCTTTTGTAGTGTTATTGTTGAATGTGATGCTTCAGTGGCCAACCAAAACAGTGAACTGAAAGTAAATTTGATTAGAATTCATCTTAAGACTAGTATCATAGCCCCTAAACATTCTTAAGACTCATGCAGTATATGTGTGTAACTACAAAGATATCAAATTAATAGTTACTAACGTTTTGAGACTGGGCCTTGTGTGTCTCTAGCTGGGCTGGAACTCACCATGTAGCATAGGCTGACCTCAAACTCTGGATCCTCCTACCACAACCTCCCCAGTGCTAGAACTGCCCTACCACATCCAGCTAATGGTTACTGAATAGTTGAATTTACTAGCTGTGTCTTCTTTTCCCTATCTTTAATTGCAGTGCATGCTCCAAGCAGTGGGCATAGAGTTAGTATATTGACTAGGCTTCCTCCTTTTTCTCTCTTTTTCCAGTTGTCTCCCTTATGGTTAGTAATGGTACCCAAGTTCACCATAATAAGGAACAAGTAATGGACAAGTTTCTTGAAAGAAGATTGATTTTTCTATTAAAAGTGATATTGGAGATAGGTTTGGAAACTTTTGTTATAAGTAAACTGTTACTCAGGACTGTGATTTGGCTTTCTGTATTTAAATTTTAAGATGGTTTATATGTTTTGTTTGTTCAGAAATCCCTTCTAATGTTAAAAATACTCAAGACAAGAAAATAGAATTTATTTCTACAGAACTTAGAATAACTTTTGGGATTTGGGGGTTATATTTGTCAACCTGTATTATATTAAAATTAATATATATTAACATACTAAAAATAATAAACCTAACTTCTTTTTTTGACAATAATTATACTTTCCAAAAAAGAAAATTAGTGAGAAGAAAGGCATTGCTTTACATTTTTGTAAATTTGTAAAATGTAGGTCTTGAGTAAACAAAAGGCAGTTTTTTGTATCTGCTTTTGCCTTCCATCTCTTATACTAGCCAATGCAAAGGAACCTCTAGAAAACTGAAATGTATACTGAATAAATAAAATAAACACTAAGAAAATAGAAGTAATAAAAAAAAGTACCTTTTGTGTCTAAAAAAGTAATTTTAATTTTACAGAACCTCTAAGGACTGTCAGAATTTTCTGGCCTATGCTTTAGAAATGTCACCTTAAAAGTTGGTTTCAAAAGAAAAGACGGTAATAGATAGCAAGAATTTGATTTAGCTTTGGTTTATTTAGCAAATATTTTATTTCACTTTTTTTGTTGATTTTGTTGTTGTTTGTTGAATAAAAGGCCTCCCTCTTGCCTAGAATGGCCTTACATGGCCATTGCCCTACTTCAACCTCCTCTAAGTGCTGGGATTATAGATGTGAGGTATCATGCCTAGTATGTACAAGTTAAAAATTTTAATTTGTAATATAGTTCAGTAATCCTAAAATAGCTTAATAACATCATGACCTAGAGATTATTGAATTCTGTTGTTTTCTGAAATGCAGAATCTTTCGACTCAGTTATTGTGAATGGAAGAGCCAGAAAAGTGCTTGTATTTCGTAGCAGATATTGACTAAGAGAAGCTATTATTACACAGGGTTCTCCTTTGTTAGAATCAGTTAGAAGTGAAGCACATTTGACAATAAACATTGGTCTTTATGGGCTTTAGAAACTATTTTAACTATTTTATTTATTATTTCTATGTGTATGCGTGTATTGCCTGCATGTAGGTAAATGCACCTGTGTCCTGCAATGCCTGTAGAGAACAGAAGAGACTGTCGAATCCCCTGGAACTAGAGTTACGGACAGTTACTAGCTGCTGTGTGGGTGCTGGGATTCGAACCCAGGCCTTCTGCAAGAACAATCAGTGTTCTTAACTGTTGAGCCATCTCTCTAGCCCCAGAAATGATTTCTTTTAATCAGTATTTTCAGCATTTAAAGTACATGGTTCTTTTTCCCAGTAACACTTGGACCACTGAAACAAAAGCCTTTTTTTCTTCGTGTGTGTGTGTGTGTGTGTGTGTGTGTGTGTGTGTGTGTGTTTGTGTGTGTTATATACATGATCATATGGGTATGTGCGCATTTTCATGTGGGTACATCTGGAGGGCAGATGTCAGTATTTTCTGTCTTTCTTAGTTGCTTTCCACTTTGCCTTTTAGACAGGATGTTTCACTGTACCTAGAGCTCATTGATTTTGGTAGACTGGCTGGCCAGTGAACTCCAGGGGTCTGCCTTTTGCTGATGCCCAGCATCGGAATCTCAGAGGAATGCTATTGTGCCCAGCATTTAAGTGGGTACTGGGGAATCCAGACTCAGGGCCTCATGCATGCATCATAAGTGCTTTACCAACTGAACTATCTCCTCAGCCCCTCAAAGTTAATCCTTTAAAAAAATTATTGTGCGTGCACGTGTGTGCGTGCGTGTGTGTGTGTGTGTGTAGAGCATGCCACAGCTTATAAGTGGAAACCATAGAACAATTTACAGGAATTGTTTCTCTTCTTCCACCATATGGATCCCAGGTATCAAACTCTAATCAGACTTAACTTCAAGAGCCTAACCTGCTAAGTCATCTCACTAATACATTTATCCTTAATACTATAATTGTTCAGGATTTTTGTATGCATTCAAAAATGTTTGAAATTTTTCTATAAAAGTATTAATACAAAGGAAAACAAAAACTTTAAGATAACTGTATGACTAATTAAGGAATGTTTATGTTACTTTTACTTTTACCTATCTTATTCATTTGAAATTTTCTATTTGACATTTTTCTTTCAGTAATCCTTTCTGGTTTTGTCTCATCAATTTTCTATATAATTTTCCACAGTCAACTGTTCTTTCATTATTCTTTTTCTCATTTAAATTCTACCGGGGCTGGGGTGATGATGGCTCAGTCAGTAAAGCACTTGCTGAACAAGTATCAGGACCTGAGTTCACATTCCAAGCATCCATGTAAAACTTGGATGTGGTAGCTTGTGTCTATAATTCCAGTGCTGAGGAGAGGGTAGAAATGATAGGCAGCTTCCTGGAGCTCATTGGCCAGCCAGTGTGGTGAATCAGTGAGCTCTAGACTCACTGAGAGACCCTGTCCTAGAAAATAAGATGGATAGTGACTAAGGCAAACACCCAGCATTGACTTGGTTTCCACACACACTTGCACAGACAGGAACATATCCACATATATTTACTGTACGTACACACACACACACACACACACACACACACACACACACTACATTCTTATTACTGTGCTTAATTTAAGTCATGATTAATTCATATGCAATTTCTTTATTCATATACAAGGAAGTAGTATTACCAGGGTTGTATTGTATTGTTTTGTTTGTAGCTGTAATAGTTTCATTTGATGGAATCACATGTCCTAGACACACAACAAGATCACAGCAAAGCCCAACTTCCAGATTTCCAGACCTACATTGGCTAATGAGTGATGGACAGTCTGCCTGCCTTGGTCCAGCAAAGCTTTTCTTGCACCACCGTATCTTTTACCACCATAGATGTAGGCACAGTTGCTTCCTTCCTTTACTTCATTTTCTCCTTCTTCAGTCACAGCACAAATTTTAGATGTTCCCCTTAGAGTACTCTGCTTCAGTAATTCCTTCGTGTCAGCTGTGCAAATTTATCACCTAGTCTTGATCTTAAGTTTGATATTAAATGTCTTATTCATAGATTTGGGAGGAAAACTTTCTTTGATTTCAGTAAACAAGAATTTCTCTATATTTCCCTGGAAAATACAAACCATGATTTTGTTTGTAAAAATTTAATTTTGTTTTATTTTTTCCATAGCGTAATCTATTGAATAAACTGTGTGTGTGTGTGTGTGTGTGTGTGTGTGTGTGTGCGTGTGTGTATGTATGTATATATAGGTATATATGTCTAGTAGACATGTGAGATTTATAGAGTAAAATTTCTTTCTCTACTTGAAATATTTTGAAACTGTATAGATATTCATTTTCCAAATAAGCAAACTGGGGCAAAAAGAAAGGATTGATTTGGCACAGGTAACAAAACTTTATTAATTAAAAGTGTATTTAACTCTGAAAGCTAAATTGTCTCGGCCAACTTTTTTAACTTTTTTTGGTTTACTTTTTATTTTATATGTGTGGGTGTTTTCCTTGCATGTATGTAAGTACACTCATGTTGTACAATGCCCACAGAGGCAAGAAAAGGGTGTCAGATCCCTGGAACTGAAGTTAAGGACAGTTGTGGTGTGAGTGCTGGGAACTGAACCTGGGCCCTCTGCAAGCGCAGTGCTCTTAACCACTGAGACATCTCTCCAGTATATTGGGGAAATTTTCTTAATCTTTTAATGAACTTACTCATACAGTAGTAAATATTAAAATACAAATTCATATAAGAAGCTAGAATTTTCTTCACCCAGGAAAATCACTTTCTTCTGCCCTTCCATCATCATCCTTTGTTTGATTAGTGTAAAGAACTGATTCAGAAACAATTGGAAAACCTTTTTTAGATTGTAGTGATTGAAAATAAATTTGTTTGTGAAATTATAATTTTTAATTTCAGTTGAACTTTTTAGTGTTACTGAGTGATGTTTAAATAGCATTGCCTATCTATTATACAACCACTGTAACCAATACAGATTTTTTTCCTTTGATCTTCATAGGCCTTAGCTGAGTATCTTTCTTCTAGTTGTCTTTTATTCTCTTTTCAGAGAGAAAATTTTTATTTTTCAACAGGTTTCTAACTGTAATAACATCTAACAGAAGTTACTTTTCTTCCTGTCAAAATAAAACCTTTTATTTCATTCCCACTCTAAGAATCTTATTTTGAAAACTTTATCTACCAAATAGTCTCTACTAAACAATAATTTGCCATTTAATACATTTTCTATTTTCTAAATCAAAGATAGACACTATTTACATGTTTTCAGAATTATATTATTGCCAGGTAGATCTTTTATGTGAGATTAATCCAGAATTTTATTAGTAGATATATACTGTTTGCCTCAGGATTTTGGAAATATTAAGAAAAAATTATGGATTATTCAGTCTTGTCTTCTTACATAGCAACAAGTAATGACAGCCAAAGACTAGGGAAATTATTAGGTATCTGTCCTACCAGAAAGAGAATTGGGGGCTTAAATCAATTTGCTCAGTAAGGGAGAGGGGAGATAAAGCTGTTCATGAGGATAAGTGGCAGGGACATGATGGTGACTGTAGAGAGTGAAAGATTCTGGGAGGTAGCGTGGTCAAGTGTCAGCTACCATTCTTGTCACTCATAGACCTTGCCTCGGCACCAAGGAACTGTGTACGGTGCAGTTCCTAATCATGGTTAACTTAGAGTCCTAGAAACATTAAATTGTGTTGTAAGCAGCTAGTTTATAGTTACAAACTATTACAAAAAATTAAAAACATTTTCCATAGCAGTGACTGTTAATGTTTACTAGTAGTTATAATAGTAACAGTACTTATAGCTACAGTAATTCATTGAAATGCCCATAGAAAGCAGAATGTTAAAATTAGTGCCTCAGTTTTACAAGTATTCCATGCTCTTAACTTCTTCAACCAGAATAAAATATGTTTTAAAATGTACCACAAAATAAGTTACTTTTTTATTGTTTTTTTCTGTTACAGATGATTACTGTGAATGCTTCCTTGTTTCCTAGTTCTGTGGCCAACTCATTAATTGCAGTTGGAAATGATGGACTTCAGGAAAGAGACAGAATGGTCCGGGCATGCATTGCCATTATCTGTGAACTAGGTCAGAATTTTCTTAAAATAATAAAGTATTTCATAAAGAATATATAGCATTTCTAATGTCTTTGAAACATAGATGCCTTAGTTACTGCTACAAAAATATGAAAATATATTTTTGATAGGGAAGTAGAAGAATTGTTAACAGTTTAAAATTGATACTAAAATTGTACAAATCTTCAATTTTATTCATCATGAGACTTGAATCGCCAGTAATCCATTACGGCACATGCCTTTAATCCCGACATTCAGAAGGCAGAGGCAGGCAAATCTCTGTGAGATCTAGGCCAGCCTGGTCTATTTAGCAATTTCCAGGCCACCTGGGACTATCGGGAGACCACATCTGTTGCAGATCATTTAAAAAAAAAAAAAAAGACCTTGGACTGTCATTAAGTATACAATTCAAAGCCACATATGGTGACACATACCTTTAATCAGCCCTTGAGAAACAGCAAGATAGCAAGTTCCAGGCCATCCTGTGAACACTGTGATCCTGTCTCAAAAAAGTGTAAGCATGCTGGGATAATTAACATTTGTGAGGGGAAATTGAGTTTATCTTCTTAGTGACACTCAACCTCATGACAGAGAAAACTGCTATTTAAGTCATGAATACATGCGCATATCAAGCATGGTTATACATACCTGTAACCCCAGCACTCAGGAGGCAGAGGCAGAATAATAGTGGGTTTAAGACCTGCCTGGGCTCCATACTTGAGTTCTAGGCCAGTCATCTCCATAGCGGTCCTATTTCAAAAACAAAACCCCACAGCAAAACGCACAGACTCCTGTGATGCAAAGAAAATTCCTGATCTTTGAAGTAAAAGTTTTTCACCTTAAAGTTACCAAACAGTATGTGTATGTACATGTGTGGGGTTGGGGTTTTTTGGGTTGTTTGTTTGTTTGTGTGGTCTTTTATAACCCCAGCTGGCCTAGAACTCCAGTGTAGACCAGGCTGCTGCTGCCTCTGCCTCCCAAGTGCTGGGACTAAAAGGGTACACCACCACACCTGGCTACATATGTGTTTTTATAAGCCTAAAATGTGATATGCCATTTGAAGCAAAATCTAAAATAGCAAATCGTATAAAAGATTTGTCAGAAATTGAGGGGAAATTTTTCAATACAGTATATCCAAAGGATAGGATAAGATAGTTCAAAACATTTTAAAAATAAGATTTGGAGACCGGTCATGGTGGCACACACCTGTAATCCCAGCACTTGGGAGGCAGAGGCAGGCAGATCTTTGTGAGTTCGAGACCAGCCTGGTCTACATAGTAAGTTCAGGACAGCTGGGACTACAGGAAGTAAAAAAAAAAAAAAAAAAAAAAAAAAAAAAAAAAAAAAGATTTGGGGGAAATATATTAAATTACTTACTAGATATCTTTTACTTGTAAATATGGTTAATTAGAAAGTTTTCAAGCCCAAAAGGAAATTGAGTTTTAAGTAAAAGCAGGTTTCAAATGACTTGCTACTATGAATATAATATGCTAAGTTTTTCTTTTATTTTAGCACTTCAGAATCCAGAGGTGGTGGCCCTTCGAGGTGGACTGAACACCATCTTGAAAAATGTGATTGATTGCCAATTAAGTCGAATAAATGAGGCCCTTATTACTACAATTTTACACCTTCTTAATCATCCAAAGACTCGGCAGTATGTGCGAGCTGATGTAGAACTAGAGGTAAGAACTTTTAATATTATTTCCTAATTTTAAAATATAATTTTAAGTACATACTCTTACTTTGCAAGTTTCAAGTAATAGATGCAGTGCTATACTAATTATCCAACCTGTGTTAACTAAGGTTGACTTATTCCCATTCTTACTGTATTTGGAATGGATTAAAAGTGTTCTAAATTATGTCACTAACATGCAAAGTAATTTATTTTTGTATTAGCTACGAAGTTTCCTGAGCAAACTAAAGTATGAATAAGGTTGCATGAAAGCATTTACATATTTAAGAACTTCAGTATGTTAATACTTTGTATTTCCTGTTATTTTCATTTTTAAAATATTTTATTTTTATTTTATGTGTATGAGTGTTTTGCCTGCATGTATGTAAGTGCACCTGTTTCGTGCAGTGGCAGGCCAGAAGAGGGTGTCAGATCCCCTGGAACTGGAGTTATAGATGGTTGTTAGCCCCCATGTTGGTGCTAGGAATTAAAACAGGGTCCCCTGGAAGAATAGCAAGTGTTCCTAACTTCTGAGCCATCTCTCTCCAGCCCCTATTTTCTTCATTAAAGCACACTAAATATTCTCTAATCTAAGAATCACTTTGGGGGCTGAGGAATGTCTCAGAGGGCAAAAGCCCTAATGTGCAACCTAACAGCCTGCGTTTGATCCCTGGAACCCTCATAAAAATGCTAGGTGATGGTGGCTTGCATCTGTGATCCCAGCATTCCTGGGAAAACAGGAAAACTGATGGGGGGCTTGGGTGGGGAGCAAAGGAGCAGATACAGCAAGAGAAACTGCTTCAAAAACAAAATGATAGAAAAGAACCCCAAGTCCCAACAAGTTGTCCTCTGGTGGCACATGTATGTGCACATGCACTCACTCATGCAAACACAAAACTCATAATAAGAAATACCTTATTTAGCACTATTTTCTGTAATTGAAAATGCATGTATCTTTTGAAAAACTTTACATTTAAAATTATTTTTATTTATTTATTCCTGTATTTACTTTTATGCACGAGTGTTGTGCTTGCATGTATGTTAAGTACACCCATGCCTGCAGTGTCCATGGGGGCCAGAAAAGGACACCAGATCTCCTGGAGCTGGAGTTCTAGGCAGTTAGCTGCCATGAGGGTGCTGGGAACAAAACCTGGATTCTCCGCAAGAGCAGCCAGTGCTCTTAACTACTGAGCCATCTCATGCTATTTTTAAGAACATTAAGAGATAAAATCCTCATTAGGCATTAGCTTATAAATGTAAACACAGGTTTTTAGTGATTTTTAAATGATTTATTCATTGGAGTCCTATGGAAAAAGTTAGTAGTATTGATGTTTCACAGTATGCTTAGCTTTAACTTTTTTATCAAGTGGAATAATATTAAAATTGGAGAGATGACCAAAATTTTAAAAAGTAGTATGTATAAGCTCCTTTCCATTTCTATACATTATGTAGCAAACTTTTGTGTAAATGAAAATAACTTGGGAAGACTATGGTAGATTATTTTTAAATATAACACTATGTTTTGTTGCAGCTTGTGCTTTAAAGCCATAAACACCATCCTCACCCCACCGACAAGATCTCATCACAGTGGCCCAGAGTTAAAGAGGACAGACTTTAGGCTGTGTAGATTGGGTGCAGGTGCTGAGGACGTAGCTCAATGGGGAGAGTCAGCATACTAGATTGGGCTTCCTATGACCTTGCTAACTTTATGGCTTTACTCAAGTTATTTAGCTTCTCTTGGATCTTCTTTTTTTCATAAATAAAATGAAAGTTGTGGTTTTCAACCTTAAAAAATTATTGTGAAAGTGAATTGCCCTAAATAATAAATATTAGTAATACTTAACTGTAGTAATTGACTTACATTTAGTTATATGTATTTTACCTATATTCTAGTCTACCAAAAAAAAAATGTTTTCATAGTTTCCGGCACTTAATAATTATTTCGTAAATACTGGTTTCCTTGGTTATTATTGATTCTTCTATCTTTTTATCGTATTCATTATGGAATCAGTTGTAAGAGAATACAGAGCTTTGATTATACCATATCAATTTTATTTGTACTTTTTCTTTTCCAAAAAGAGCTATTTGTAGTACTGTTGTCTCTCCTGTTAGGCCTTATCTTCATCCTATTAAAATAGGTGTGTAAAGCTGAGCATGGTGGTGCATTCCTTTAATCCCAGTACTGGGAGGCAGATGCAGATGGATCTTTGTGAGTTCAAGGCCAGCCTGGTCTACATAGTGAGTTCCAGGCTAGACAGTGGAGACCCTGTATCAAAAAGACCACAAAAAAAAAAAAGGATGTGTAATTAACTTAGAATTTTTTTCCCAATTTTCAGTTTACCCTGATACTTATTTCTAATGACTCTGTCAAGTTGTTATGCAGCAGCTCTCTTTTTCCTCAGGCTACTTGGTATTTAAGGTAGAGTTGGACATAGGAAATGCACATAGACTTTCTGAAATCAGAAAAATTGAGAGCTTTTGGCCATTTTGTGATACTAAAATGACAAACTAGATATTTCGTATCTAATTTCCTGTTCTTGACATTTACCAAATTCTTACAATTGTCCTTTGAATGGGTAGCTTTAGATTTCAATTTAAGACTATACCTGGTATATTTAGTGTCATCAGAATTACAGTGCAACCCACTTGTTTAACAATCATTAGGATCAAATGATTAGCTGCTTTAATTTGTCAGCTAGCAGAGGAAAAGATCAGCAATCTCTGGTGGAAGATAACAGTTGACAGCATGTAATTCCTTTCTAAAATGTACTGTGACTGAGGCTGGAGAGATGACTCAGCTCTTAAGAGCACTGGCTGCTTTTGCAGAAGATGTGGATTCCATTCCCAGCACCCACATGACAGCTAACAACCATCCATAACCCCAGTTCCAGGGGATCCAATGCCCTCTGCTGACTTCCACAGTCATTGCACAATGTGGGTACACTGACACATATATATGCAGGCAATGAACTCATACACATAAAATAAAAATAACAAAATGAAAATATTAGGAAAACAAAGAACATAAAGTCATATATAATTTCTCGGACGGTTGGAAGCATACATTACTGCAAGCACGTGGAAGACTGAAGGACTGACAAAGTCAAAATGTATGCATACGCAGTACTTACACCTGATGACTCAAAGAGCTGCTATTAGGTATACTCCCTCCCAATGAGAAAACATGAATGTGTGCACTGCAGTTTCCCCATATATTTTATATGTATGAGTGCATCACCTGCATGTGTGTAAGTGCATCAGTGTTGTACGATGCCCATGGAGGTCAGCAGCGGGCATTGGTTTTCCCTGGAACTGGAGTTACAGAAGGTCGTTGCCATGTGGATGCTGGGAATTGAACCTGGGTCCTCTGCAAGAGCCGTCAGTGCTCTTAACTGCTGAGCCATCTCTCCAGTTCCCATAAATTAAATTAAAAAAAAAAAAAAAAGAAAACGGAAAACAAAGTAAGAGATAACTAACCTAAGTAACAAAGAGGGGCAGAGGGCACTGAAGCAAGCAGGATAGAGCAAAAGAGCTAAAACAGTTGTAGTCTTTAGAAAGTAGAGAGAAAATCGGAAGTAGTAAATATCCAAAAAGACAATGGCTAAAATTTTGTTTCTAAACCTTTTTAAACTTTATGTGTATGAAGGTCAAAAATCTCCAAGTAAGAGCATCAAAGAAAGTAAGTTGTAGGCCCATCATGGCAAGACTGTTGAAAACTCCAGACCACTAAAACTCAAGAGCAGCCAGAGAAGAAAAAAAAAAACAAAAAGAAGACACATTGCTTTCAAAAGAGCAAATCTTCCAGTTGATTTCCTAACAGAAGAAATGGAAAGCAGCAATAGCTGGTGCTATTGTCCCAAGTGCTGAAGGAGCACAGCTGCCAGCCCAAACCAGGGAGCATGCCTTCTATGCCTATTTGTGCATTGTTTTAGGTGTATTTTTCACCTTAATTTGAAAGTTCAAAAATTCAGATTGTACTTTAAAAAAAAAAATCAGCTTACCTTTTTGGATGAATTTGAAGAAAAAATATCTGAAACAGTAAACCAAATTAAGTATATAGAGAAATGAAATTAATTTTGGCTATTAGAGAATTTTTTTATAATTAAAAACTTTGTGGTCTTTCTTTCTCTTTTCTTAATTAGCGAATTTTAGCACCCTATACTGATTTCCACTACAGACATAGTCCAGATACAGCTGAAGGACAGCTCAAGTAAGTACCACTAATTTCTATTAAATTATATATCATCTTTGTGTCTATTGTTAAACCTTTTATGTTTAACTGATTTCGTGTAGAGCCAGGGAAATGTGAGTAGAAGTAAATTTTCTGTTTTGTGAACTTAGATTGTATTTCTCACATAACTACACTGTAAAAAATAAAAAGAAAGCTTTGAGAAATTTAAAGATTAATTTGTTATCTTCAGGCAAATGCATTGCTTGAATTCATCTTGTTCTTTAGTAATTTGATAACTGTAGGTTATCTTTCTCATCAGAGAAGCTGAATAAGCTTGGGACAAGGTCTTTGAGTTAAAGAGAATGCAGGTGTTAACAGAAATTTATGTGATGGCCTTGTTACAGAGCATCTGTACACATGGTGCTTGTTAAGCAGACTCCTGTGCTCTATTGCTCATTTGAAACACATCTAAGAACAGTTTTCAGAAGGATCAGAGAACATAGAACTAAATAGGAAAGCACAATTTATAACTTACTATAAGTTGTGCTGTGAATATAAGTTTTTTTGTATTATTTTTAAGACATGGTCTCCCCAGTTAGCCCTGGCTAGCCAGGAACTTGCTAGGTAGCCCAGGCTGCCCTTGAACGTGCAGCAAACCTCTTGCCTCTGTTCTCTGAAGTGCTGGGATTACAGACCACCACAACCAGTTTATATTGTCAATTTCAAATGGAAGTGAAACATTCCCCTTTTTTTTGAAAGTGACTGTACTACCAGTTGAGTAACTGGATTTGAAGTAGATCTGGTCTTTTTAAAAAACAGTTTTATTTGATTTCATCTGTAAATATTTAACATTATTGATAGATTTTACTCTGATATATTAGTAACAAGCTGTCATCTTTTGAGTTTAACATTCTCTGTCTTTAACACTACCCTCCTGCACCCTTCTACAGAGAGGACAGAGAAGCACGATTCCTAGCCAGTAAGATGGGAATCATTGCAACATTCCGCTCCTGGGCAGGTATGTCACTATATGTTGCTTTGTAACATTCCAGGAGAAAACTTACTTGCTTTTTCAAATGTTACATTGTTGCAGCACCTAATTAAATGCTCATGTAGTTTTACTTTTATGTTATTATTAGAACCAAAGGAATTTATTCAAAATATTCAAACTTAGTGAAGAAAATTTGTAATATTAAGTAGGATACAACTAACATTATATACTGCATGTACATAGTCATTAGCATCTGCAAGTCACTGCTAATGATTACCTGGCATTTTAATAAATATTAAACATGGTCTGTACTCCCTACTACCTGCCAAAGACTCCTAAAATAAAAGACAAAACTGTGTTGTATATGTATAGCTAAAGTTGTTACTTTAAAATGGTGTAGCAGTGGTGCACGCCTTTAATCCCAGCACTTGGGAGGCAGAGGCAGGTGGATCTCTGAGTTCAAGGGCAGCCTGGTCTGCATGGTGAGTTCCAGGCCAGCTGGGGCTACAGGGAGACCCCAATAAAAAAAGCTTTAATCCCAGCACTTGGGAGGCAGAGGCAGGGGGATCTCTGTGCATTCAAGACCAGCCTGGTCTATATAGTGAATTCCAGGCCAGCTGGGGCTAAAGGGAGACCCTGTCTCAAAAAAACCAAAAAAAAAAAAAAAAAAAAAAAAAAAAAAAAAGGTGCAGGAGAGTCATAAACTATAACTAAGTTAGGGTATTAGTAGTCCCAAACTACTTTTTTATTTCTGTTGCAGTTTGTTTCACACTCAGGGACTTGTGCATAATAAATAGGAACTCTGCTCTCAAGCCTCACCTCCAGCTCACCACATTTCTTGACAATAGGAGTTATACCTGTTTTATATTCATATGGACTAAAGGCAAAGATGTCTTCCTTTTTTTCATAAAGAAATACCTCCACTTTGTTATTCTCTGTTAATGATTGCCTTCTTTCGTCTTGGTTTCATAGAATAATTGCATAGAGACCATGGGAAGGAATGTAGCATAGGCAGAACAAAGAGATTTGCTTAAATAATTCTGTGCGCTTAGCTAATATTACCTTACAAATGTCTTTTCCATACAAAATTTTTCCTAGCCAATTGGCTTAGCCTCTAGCAGTGTATTTCCAGGGTCTTCCTCTGTGCTCTTGGCACCTTGGTGACATACTCTGCCCTTCTGTGCCTTATGTATCTTGCCCTACGTATTTCACTTACCTTCATTTACAACCAAAAAACTGTATGGGGACCCAAGAGTAACAGACCATTTTTCATATTTGTTTTGATTAGTTTCTGTTGTCAAAACAAACATACCTAAGACTAGATAATTTATTAAAATACAGATATTTATGTAGTTCCCTGTTCAAAAGGCAAAATGTCCAAGAACATGGCATCAGCATTCTGTGGCATGACAAAGGTGGTCTGCTAGCTCAAACCTCTCCTTTTAGAAAGTTAGCTTAGGGTTCCATCATGGCAGCCTCATCTAATCTAATTACCTCTCAAAGATCCCACTTCCATGTACCATCAACGTGAATTTGGGGTTTAATTTCTGACACGTGATCTTTTGAGGGACACATTAAATTACCACGTACTCTTTGAACATAGAAACCACGTAAGTCATCCTGGCAAGTTAAACCATCTTTGCTGGTACTCAGAATTCAGTACGCCTTTTTTTTTTTTTTTCCCCCTGTTTCATCCCTCAGCTTAGTTGCTATTTCTGTTTTACTGAAAATACTCTTCTGTTCTTTAACCACTGGCATAGCCCAACTTCTGTGTCTTTCCTTTAGACTCTACTCTCCTTGGCGCTGTGTCTCTCACCTTGATCAGTCTCTTTCCTTATTCATCTTACATGTTCTTTCTATATTGCCATTATATATTGATCTCTCATTAGAAACTTTAAAAGTTACATGTTTTCCTACTGGAGAAATAATAGCATTTCAAGTTACAACCTTGAAAATATTTTTCATAGAAATATTTCCCTCGTGTTTAGATTCTGTGGCACAATTTATGACGTAAATAAACATCTGCCATGTTAATTCTATGACATTTCCAATTCCAGGTAACTGATGAGAGATGTCTTCTAAGCACAGATTCTCATGAATATCAGCAGACTTTTTACCCTGTTAGCACAGGGAAGATTTGTATCCCTTTATCATAATCTATGGTTTCCCAAACTAATATTAGATACCAAAGTTCATGAGATACCATGTCACTGTTTGAGCAGATAATCTTAATTATTTGTTTCATTTTAATTTTGATCTAAGTCCAGAGAGAAATTATAGATTATTCATGAATACATACATACACATTGAGCATCCTTAATATGAGATCAGAATGCTCCAGAATCTGAAATTACTTGAACACTGCCATAAATGAAAAAATCCATACTTGACCCCAGGTGACAAAGTATAAAAATCTGGTTTTAATCCTCAGGGTTTGTATATAAAATTTATATGAAATATAAGTGAGCTCATGTCAACACTTGAGTTATCTCATGACGGACTTACAGGTATTCTGAAGGCTAAGGGGAAAAGTCCCAACTCTAAACTCAGCTGATTCTAAGGATTTTTGAAAACAGGTATTTAGACTGTACATGCTTAGCTAGAGGTGGTGGGGAACTTTAGAGTCCTAGGTGACTATTCAAAACATTTTTCCTAGCACTTGATTCTAAAACATTTTAAGGAAAAAACTTTAAAATTGTATAGTGATCAGTATGTATTCCTGCTACATAGATTTTGTTTTATCATTGTCCAACCATCTCTCTGTGTCTTCATCATTCCACCAAAATTATTCTAATGCACCTTGAACGTAGTTACCTGCAAATTATCAATGCTCTTTACTCCTACAAGAAGTGCACATACACTAACAAAGTGAAAATCCTGTTTACACGGTCATCAGTGTGTACAAGTTCCAGTTGTTCTGCATCCCTGTCATTGTTTGGTGTTGACAGTCTTTAATAGCTAGCTGGTCAGTGGATATGTAGTGGTATCTCATTGATACAATTTGCTTTTCATGATAATTCATGGAACACTTGGTACTTGCTTATTGGCTACTTATGTATCCTTTTTTTTTTTGATGACTGTTGCTTGTTTTATTATTTGTCCAAAGGATTTGGTATTGAATCAAGGTAGAGAAGACAACTATATACCACAAATGGCTCCCAAAACTATCCCTTCTGCAAAAGACCCTTAACTTCATGCTGCCTTTCAGCACCTAACTTTGGGGGCTTTACTTTCTATCCCTGAAATTACTAAAATAGGCAGAAGGCCGGAGATTAAAATGTAATTATTAAGGGGTATAATCTGATAGAAAGGAACATCACTTCCCTAAGTCCTTGATACCAGGTTTGGGAGCTGATCTGTCAGCAGTAATTTTCTCTAAAACCACAGAGTACAATCTAAGCAAAGACCCTGATCTATCCTCATTTCTTGATACTTTCTAATATTTTATTCCATAAAATATTTAGCGAGTCTTGTCTTCTAATTTTTGACACAGATATATAT